GCTGCTCTGCGCAGTCCCCAGAACCTGTCACTGTTTAAGGTGCCTGTGTTTGGCGTGAGGGTTTGGGGTATGTTGATATTTATCGGTTACTATGACTTCTTTTTTTTCCCCCGCAATTGCATCAAACCCTTAAAACATGGTGGTAAGTGAGCGATATGCATGCTTTGGAGTTTGTTTAATCTCCGCTTCAGTCTACAATGCACAGTTCATGATGTTAACACTTTCTTTCAAGTTTACTTCATTCACTTTCACAACTAATTTGGATTTCAGTTTGCTGTTTAATCCTCATTTACTTTGATTTTTGTACCTTTTTTTGTAGTTCTGTTCTTTTCCTCTCCTGACTTCCCTACTAGGGATCAAGTCACCTTTTTTTTTTTTTTTTTTTTTTGTCTGCTCTGTAAGGGAGAGTGGTGCTGCAGGTAGTGACTCAGTGCAGGAGTGGAGGACAAGGCTCTTTATTCTCTCCATGTGAAAGTGGCTTTGTGGGGAGGGGCTCCTGGGATTCAGACCGCAGTGTGAAGCACAGCTGCTCCCACCTGCAGGCATGGCAGCTATGCCACAGACACTATGGCTAAAATCTGATGTGCAGCCCCTTGCATGTTAGCAGCTTGTCAGGTTGGAGTGTGTCATTTCTAAGCAACCACCAGGAAAGAACCCCTCTGCCAAAGGTCTGAGGTGCTTGGATTGGTGCCTACAGGGTCCTCCTTGGAAAAGATTAGCCTGCTATTGTGATTCTTCCTCTCCCACTTTTTAAAGTTGGGAGTAGACTGGTGATATCCTTGATTCCACTATCTTGCATTAGTATTTTGTATTTTTGGGTGCACAGCCAGAGCACTAAAAATACTGTGTTTGCTCCTGTGTGTCTTCTCCTTTAGCTCCCCAAGGTGCTTAGCTCCTAACGTGTAGCAGAGCTGGACTGGCCAGGCGCTGAACAGCAGGCTGCTGTGTGGGGAGGGTTTAGGCTGGGTTTGTGTGTCTTACTACTTGGTGTCTTTGTAGCTATTCACTGCACACACAACACACTCGTCCTGGGTGTCCTTGAGTCTTAGTTCGTTCTTTGTACCTGTTTGATAGTGTGCTGTTGTTAGTAACGGGCTCCTGTGGACACTGGTGTGTCGCTAGCCTATTGTTTTGGCTGATGAGTTGTTGGTTTGTGGTTAGTTTTTTTTTTTTTTTTTTTTTCTTCTTTTTTCTTTTGAAATCCTCTTTTGCTCCAGTCACTGTGTGTGCTGGCGGTGGCTTTGCCTCTCCGTTGCCTGGAAGGAACAGGTGGAGCAATGTCTCCCTGTAACAGACATTACTCCCGACGTGTGCTCCTGCAGACGCCTCCACTGAGACTGTAACCTCATAACTGCTTCATGTGCACCAAAGCCCTCTTGTGGAATCCTGCTGAGAGGTTTTCTAGACACCTTTTGTGCAAACTTGTGAATCCTTTCGTCCACCATACTTTATATAGCAAAAGCAGACTAAGAGCACGTTTCCTACCCTTTTATCTCTGTTGAAAAGGGACCAAGTTGCCCTTAGTTGAAACAGGAAAACCTTACAAATTAGAATAATAAATACCAATTTAAGAAGGCTTCTAAGCTGAGATTTTTATTTAAAAAAACAAACAAAAAAACCTCATGGCTGTTCTGCTTTTGGCCAGTGTATAAGAACAAGCCCGACTTTCCTATCTGAAGTCTTTTCTAGAGGGCTGTCACTGTTGAGCTCTCTGCGGTGTGGCGCAGAACATCTTCTGGTACACGTGTGCTTGTGCTGGCGTGGCTGACGCTGTAGTTTGTGAAACTATTACGGCTTCTTCGTCTTCAGCCTCATTCTCCAGACTAAGACTCTTAAAGGTCACAAAACACCAAGAAAAGCAGGGTGCCCTTTGGGGAAGTGAGGATGTGTGGCTAAAAGGACAGAATGTACACATCCATGTACAGCGTAGGATGGAGCCAAAACTGCATGTGTTCATCACAAGAAAACAAACAGCAGGATTTTACAACTGAAATGTTGGTTTGTCTTCTCATCTAAGAGTGAACCACTGGAACTTGGGGACAAGATGAGTATAATGATATTGCAGCCTATCTGTCCGCTACAGTTGCAGTTTTTCATGACAAGCATTCAAAGTGTTAACTAAAACCATTGAAACAACATACCTGCCATTAAACTTGAACTAGAAATAACAACTCCATGAGTGTTTTGCACCTCCAGATGGAATGGCCTTTAAACGCTATGAATAGCCATGTTTGCCACTTGCAGTTTGTTGTCCTGCTAATCCTTATGTGGAGTCTAACGGTTTTCTCCTTTCTTTTCTTGTCTCTCATGGCTTATTAAAAACTGACCATCCCCATAGATGATGAACCAGCTGGGCCAATGTAAGTATTTTAGTGGACTTTGAATTACGCTGTATTTGTAGCTGAGTTAAATGGTGTGGCTAAGACTGTAGGGGAAGACAGTGAGTGTAATACTGCAGTGAAGACGTCTTAGCCTGACAGTTGTAACTCAAGACCATTTGAATTCCAAGGCAGCCTGCACTCTTGTTTTAGCTGTACAGGTGGGATGCTGTGCAAAAATGGTTAGAATTTTGTGTACTCCATATGCTTTAGTTGATAATGTAGGGCAAGTGAGCAGTGTATTAATGATGCCACATGTTTTGGTCAAACTCATTTCAAGCTGGACTGTAACATGGATAAACCATCCAGCCTCATGAACACCTGCTGGTGTCGTGAGAGGGAGCGGCAAGTGTGGAATCAAATAGCACTCACTGAATCCAGCAGTGTCCATGTTAGTGAAGGGCTGGAGGGCACAGCAGAGCCAGTTGATGACTGTCTTCTGTCATCTGAAAAATATTGGTGATCACTGGAGTAAAAGTCAATCTCACTTTCATAGAGACTGAATACAGTTGCGGAATCAGAGGGCAAGTCACCTCTGCACTGTCTGCCTTGGGAGTCAAAAGCTCTCTTAAGGGAAGAGGTGCAGGTGCTGCACATGGAGACCGTTGTCAGGCACTAGTGTTGTGCGGTAAAATTCCTCACCACCCCAGGGATGGCAGCAAGTGAAAGAGCCCCTGTATTTCCATGTGTTACTTTCAAACCTTATAACTAGTTTAACTCACATAATGCAATTTTTCCTCCAAAGGAAAACCAACTCTACCAACAATCACAAAGATAAAAACTTGCGCCAGAGAAACACAAATTAAGTACTGCTTACAATGTAAGTATGGCCTTCTTTAGAGATTTAAAAAACTATATTCAAACAAATTGTACCCCGTTGACCTTGTTATAAGTTTTTCAGTAGATGGTGTTATATGGCTAGACCTTTGAACTTTATTTCAGAGCAGCTGATAGTGATGGACCAAGTTCTGCTTGCTGAGTTTAGCGCTGGAAAGCAACACTCTTCAGCTGCACTGATTCACACATTTGTGTGAATGCCATTTCAAAACTGTGTGTTTCAAAATAAATACTTCACACAGCCATTCAGTTACATCGTTAAAAAGAGGTAAAGTAAAATCGTCACCTTCTTAGGTGGATTATTATCAGAGGCCTGCAATCGCTGCTTTGCTTCAGAGGGCAGGCAAGGACAGTGGCCAGGAAGCAGGGGGCCAGAGTGCTGTCCTCAGAGGCACATGGAGATCAGAGTTTCACACCACATCCCTGTGCATGCTGTTGGAACCAGAGCTTTATTTTATGAGGCACTCAGTCTAGTCCTGTGTGACAGCGCATGTTTGTTCCCTTTTAATTTCCAAGCACTTCTTTTCTTTTTAGATCTTTAGGTTCCTGAAACTGGTGGCATCATGACCTGCTCAATTTTCTGCTTGGACCTCTTTGGTCTCTCCCCTTCAAGTGAGCAACACCACAATGACCGTCTAAAGCATGCCTTATTTAGCCTCTCCTGTAAGGGTGACCTAGCCAGGTACATTCTAAACAGTGCTTCAGTGTAGAAGGTGTAAACTATTTTGGGCTTGATGTGCTGTGAATGTTGCTTTTTTTCCTTTGTTAAAATATTTAAATAGAAGTGAAAAGGTCCTCGGAGGATCAGATCATGCATGCGCCATTTTTTACTTAATGCAGCTGTTAAATTGGCAAAGCTCTAAAGTGCACTGCTGCCATCCAGTGGTACATTTTTGTAAAGTACAGCAAACCTACAGATATATACAGTATATAAATATATATATCTATATTTATATTTTTGGGGGTGGGAGAAATCCAAAATAAATGCTTGTTTCATTTTTAAGCTGCTGATATTCATTCCTTATTGTATGTTGTTGGATGAGGAAACTGTGCAGTTCTGGTACATAAAGATAAGTAACATAACTAAAGTCTGTAAATTAAGGGCTTAACCTATGACTTTAAGAATCTGGAACAGTCCAGTGAATGGATATAATGAATTGCAGTATATATGTATGATTGCTTTTTAAGTAACTATTTTTTCTTTTGTTTAATCTGTAAATTCTTAAATCCTTTTGCACTGATGCGTTGAACCTTACTCTTGTACATTCAATCAAGGCAAATTTTTATAATTTACCTTTTGTTTTCAATGACGTTGACATGTTACAGCATGGTGAGATTCTATGCAAGTAGTTACACTTTTGGTTTGGCATTGTACTTTCTCATATTGATTTAACAGTTGGTGGTAGCTTTTATAACCTGACCAGGTTCTCATGCAGTATGTAACTGTAGATGCATGTCCTTGTGTTTTGTGTAATTGTTGAAGTGCAATGATGTATAAAAGTGGATTCACCTGTTTTTAAGAATAAAACATTGATAAAAGGCGTTTGGAATAATACTCTTTCAACACTTGAAAATTCCTTTTTATGTATTCGTCAAGCCTTAGTTTCTCATTCCTGTCAGCTTTTTAAGTTCGCCTTCCACCTTTTCCACAAATGCTGGGAAGTTTTGGTCCATGAGGCACAGGCGTAGGAAGGGGCCTAATTCTTCCACACTCCATGCAGATTGTGCATAGGCAAAGGGCAGCTCCTCTGATGCCAGGATAGACTGCAGGGACAACAGAAGAGTTTGTTACAAGCAAAAAGCAGTACTCTTAATTAGCAGTTTTAATTTGCACTTTCCTGATCACTTAACAGTGTGAGGCCCCTCTTCATAGGTTATTTGCCATCTGTACGTTTCCTTTGGTGTCCTGCAGTGTTTTAAAACCAGTTGACCTTAAGAGAATTTAGAAGTCTGGCTTTGCTTGGCATTCCTGAGAAATGACAACCTGGACCCTCGAACTTCATGGTGACAGTGGGCTGCAGCCCTCCTGGAATCTACTTTGGGCCCTGTGGTCTGCACATGAATTTTATGAAGTATGTGGTTTAATTCCCTTCCTGTGGGTGGCATAGTTTAGTGCATAAGTACCAAACTGACCTTTCTCTAGGAGCTGTAATAGAAATTTCCTTTTCTAAATTCAGACTGCCTTCCAGACTCTGCCTAAAAGGTCTAAAGAAGAAAATGAAAGTAACAGAGCCTGTTCTGCAGAGGAAGAGCCCCTGCTAACACTGTACTTCGACACTTAGTGTTACACAAAGGTAATCATCAGGCTATTTTGCAGCCGCCTTTTAAAAACACAGTGTAGTGTAGATATCTTCCCATCAGTGGCAGGCACCGACGTCACTTGATTACAACCTTATCCCACCTATGCTGATGCTGCACTTCAGCCCCTCAGGGTCCTGATATTTTTTGTGTGGAGCTGAGATGAATTACTGTTAATACGACACATACCACTGCACTGCCTTCCAAAAGGTTAGAGAAAACAAGAAATATCAGAGCTCTGGGTCTTGTGCTTGTTCTCATTTGTATGAGTTCTTCAGTACTTCAAATAAACTGCACTAAGGCATCACTCATAGCACCTGACATTTCCTTGGTCTTTCTGCAGGCTGGTGTCCTCAAGCACTCTGCATTGAATGCCTAACCCCAGTGCAAATGGGAACATTATCAAGTCTACCCTGCTCTTGGACACACAAGTTCGTTGTTTTGGTTTTTTTTTTTGCACAGCCCAGGTTATTGAAAGAAACAAAGATGCTTTATTTGGGAGGTTGCAGGTAGATTGCACCAACCACCATCCCCAGCCTAAGTTTGCTTACTTCTTGAGTTCTGTTGAGTTAGTGCTAAGCCAGATGGAGAAAATGCACAGATTTTCTCTTCACTACCACTGTTACAGCACAGCTTAGTAGATCATGAAAGCAAAGTCATCCTTGAGTATTGACAGATGCATGCAAAGTTCACAGAAAGCACCAGCTAAGGAGGGAGCACCTGCCATCCAGTGCCATCACCAGAGAGGGGAGATAGTCCCCACAGAGCCCCCAGCAGACGGACCACACGCAGTCAGAACAGTGCACCAAGAGGTTCTGCGGGACTCTGGTGGTGGCAGCCTACACAGTCTGAACTGGCACGGCCAGGCCCTCCAGGCTGTCCTCACTGAACAGTGTCCTACAGAAACCACTGCAGAGCCAACTCTAAATTGACCTACATGTTCTCAAACACTCCCCAAATATCACTTCTAAAACTAATTTTCTGGGAAAGCGGTGAGTAAATCCTGTGTCTTCTCTCCCCTGTCTGGTGTCCCACGAGGGTGAAGGACAGTGCTCTGTCACACTGTGGCTCCTCCTGCGAATATGCACGTTAGATTTCTGTTCTCAAACGAGGAGTGAATAGAGGAGTACGAGTCCTTACAGACCCCAGAACAGCCCCTACCTGTGCTAACTGCGCTACCAAGGTCCTTCCCTCTGGAGCTCCAACAGCAGCAGCCACACGTGTGCCCCGTTCCGGGTCCTGGGAGGGCTGGAGTAAGACAGCATGCGGTAAGGAGAGCAGCAGAACAGAATGGTAAACACGGAATGGAGGCACAGGCCTTCACCTTCAAAGAAAAGGGACACCTGTAAAAGTGACCCTTAACTCTGCTCAGTGGAGGTCTGCCCTGTGACAATTCCCTACCTACCACAGCACCTGCATGCCTTGGTGTGATTCTGTCCAGAGGCCTGGGTGGACGGCAGGGCCCGCATGTAGGAAACAGCGCCGCTACAGATGTGTGTGCTCAAGCCCTGCGTCTGATGGGCAAAGTGTAGTCTGATGTTAACTGCTGAAGTGCAAAATGAGAGAAAAATCCTTGTATTTGTGTTCATTCTCCACTCTGAAAAGTGTCCTACAGAAACCAGATACTGAGAGAGTAGGAATGGGAGCTACTTGGCCCAAGGTGGAGGCTGTGCCCTTCAGGAGCCCACAGCCTGGCCAGGACCGCACAGGTCGTGGGTGGCTAGCGCAGGTGCCTGCGATGAGGCACTGCCTCAGAACACAGGGTGCTTCCTAGGGAGAGCGTGGAGGTGCAAGGGTCCCTGGCTCCTTTCCTCCTAGCCACACGTCTGCAGGTGCCAGTGCTCCCAGTGCCAGGCGTGAGCTGATGGTGTGAGACGGAGAAAGCAAGGTCCTCCTGCGGGTCCCTCTCCATCAGCAGCACATCTGACTGACAGAAGCAGATGATGCCCCATTCTGGCGTGTGTCCTGTATGGATGCTGACGGCTGCTAAGCCACTGATAGCGGAAAACGAGACCAGGAGGCATCAAAAGAGGAGGAGATAGTGGGGGCCAGGGGGAGAAAAGAACAAAGGAAAATAATCAAGAATATTAAAATCAAAATGGGCAAAAAGGCCAAGGAACCCTAGTTAGAGAAGCCCTTTGACAAGCTGTTTCCCTGTTCAGTTTAGTTTCCTCGTCTGTGAAGAAGCTGGACTCCAGTGCAGTGATTCTTCCTGCTCTAGTAACTGATGTTTTTCTGGGACATACAGTAGTTCAGCTCACATAGTGTTCTTTAAACAACTGAAAATAATGTCAACTAAAATCCTGCACCACAGCCACTAAACACACAGCTGTGTGACTCGGCCCTGGAGGCCGGCGGGGTCAAGTGGGTTGGTTCACACTGCCAAGGGCAGAAGGCAGGCAGGCTCTGTGCAGAGCAGCTGGACTGCTCTCTTCTGGACTTAGCGTGCCCACACAGGCAAGTTCATCTACTAACTGCTGGCCTCCTTCTGTTTCTCACCCCCCATGCTGGGCGTGGGGGCTGGGTTGCCTCAAGAACCCTCAGGTTGAGATACACCTGGTTGGGCCACAATTAACAAAATTACAAGACTGAGGAAGAGTAAAACTAAAACATGAGCCAGGAAATGACTCAAGACTTGAAATAGACATGAAATTATCCCTATTTGCAAAGAAGGGAACTATTTTAGACTAAAAATATTCTGGTATTGGGAAAAGGACACACTTGAATCTATGGGCACAGCAAGATGACCTGAATTTGGTCCCCCGCTTGCCACTCAAAAGATGGAAAGGGAGCGTGACACCAAGTTAGAATGTTCTGTCTTCAGCAAGACTCAGGTGTTCGAAGCCCTGCTTCAACGTGCACCCAGTGGAATGACCCAGTGGCGTCATCCCCGTGAGCTGGAGGCTCTGATTCTCGCTACTTATATCTTTGACCTGGATGCTGACTTACGTGCAAGTAAAGGCACATCTGAAAATATGAGGGCTGGCAGTAACAGTAATGCATAATGTGGCTGAGGTCACATCAGCTTAGCTTTGGATAATGTCACTGAGATCACATCGGCTTAGCACTGTGCTGTGTGCTTTCCACACAGATTTCTCTGCACGCCTCAGTGACTCACACAAGATCACACAGCTACCAAGAAATTGGGCTAGGATTCAACCTAGATCTTCCTGGGTTCCAAAGCCTGTGGTCTGTGCCCAGCATCACGCTGTCTCATTTAAACAGAACACCAAATTATAGATCACAAGAGCCCCAAAATGGAGAACCAAGAAAAGACATGAAAATTTTCTAACCACTTACAGGACATTTCTACCTAGACCTCTGGGACAAGCCTTTAACATCGCAGCAGTGAAGCCTTTCGCTGTTGCACCAGCTTACAGCTCTCAGCCTGCATGTGTTATCACATAGTACAAATGCAATTTAGCATGAGTTTTTGGAATGTACATAACTGGGGAGTTTGATGTGTATGAGGTTCCCAAATTCAGGGGCCCTGTAGGGTTCTGGTCACACTAGGTTTTGGGGATACTGCACATAATCTGACTCTACTGGTCAATGAAAACTGAAAAAATTCTATTTAAAAGGCACATACTCCCACCCGTTCCATTGTAGGAAGGGATTCTTAAAGACTAGCAGGGGCAATGAGGGTTTGAGACAGGCGGCCTCAGCATCTTCACAAAAAAAGATCAAAGAAAGGGACAGAACTGGAAAATGCCAAAAGTCAGCAAAGGAAACACATTCAAGAGCAAATAATGTAGCACCTGCTTAAAGAAAAAGACTGTAATGCTCATTTATGTCCACCTGAAATAAGCTGTGAATGACAAATTTTGTGATCAAGCAGCAAAAATGAATTGTCTTGGTAAAGGGGAACTAAGGATGAAGTACTAGACCAGGCTCGGAAAATGGTTTCTCAAAGTAGAAAACAACTCAGCTTGAAACTGGAGTTCCATCTCCAAAGCAGAAATACACTCTTTTTCTCTCTTTTGAGTCTGCTGAAAAAACTCAAATAGGTATTTGCAGAAGAAACTACAGCACGTCTCAAACTTGTGATCTCAAGACTTTTTTTTTATAACCTTATAATTACAGAGGCCCTCAAAAACTTCACTCACACTCATATGTATCTGGTAGACATTCAAACAACTTGAAAATATTTTTGAAAACTTCAAAAATCATGTTGTTAACGTTTTATGAAAAATAACTTTTCTAAAACAAAATGTAACGCATTCTGTAACTTCTGCACATCTAGCTCACTGCAAGGTCACTGGATTCTTACACCTGCTTCTGCATTCAGTCTGCGGTTGCAAGTCGATGAAGAAAATCCACCTTTACACACATATGAAGATGGAAAGGGAGCAATATTTTAAAGCAGGCTTTCAGATAATTGCAGGAATTCTTGACATGGCACCAAAACCCAGTAAGTGGTAGCCTCTCCAAGGTTAGTTGCAACACAGAATATGAAGCCATGGCAAGGAAGCTGAAATGCTGTGTTACAATAAAATCCACTGGCCTGTCTTGCACTTGAAATAGCTTTATTCAGTTTTGTAGCAGCATGTGTCATCTGGAAAATATAGGCTCACTGAACTGTACCTGTCTTGCGGCTCTTGACACATTGCATGTCATCCATATGTTTATATAGAGTCAAGTTCATCAAGCAGCCTCTATTATCCCTGCTTTTTTTTTTTTTTTTTTTTTTTTTTTTTGGTACCGGGAATCTAACTCAGGACCTTATGCTTGGGGCCAGGCGCTTGTGCCACTGAGCTCTGTCCCCGGCCCATCAAGCAGCCTCAGAAGTGGCTGGGTAAGGAAGGTACAAGACCCGTGTAGTTCAGACTCCACTTGAAAGGCTTACTGTCCATTGTCACCCGGGAAGGGGATTTAGCTCAGTGGCAAAAGCGCCTGCCTGGCAAGCGCAACGTCGTGAGTTCGGTTCCCGGTACCGGAGAAAAACAAAAAAACAAAAACATTGTCACCCGGGAAGTGAGAGGCTCACATCTTTCATTTCAGAGAATACATTCACCAGACACCCATCTGAATGACCCTAAAGTGTCCACTGTGATGTCCGGGGAGAAGAGGCCAGTTCAGCTTGCAGTTCAAGCACCACTTAGGTGCTGTCAGACAGCTGGTGTCCTGTAGGATGCCAGGGCTGCCTGCTCCGGGGGTTGGTTTCTATTGCAAGTGACCGGTGAGAAATGACAGCTGCCGGTATGCACCGTACTGGCTCTGTACTGACAACAGCTTTTCTCAGTGCTCCCGCCCCGTCTGTGCAGATGCTGACACAAGGAAAACGGAAAATAAGGTCTTGGGATTATGAAAGCAATCTTGGCCCTACAGGCCCCAGAATGGGGCTCCGCAAGAGATGGGCCACACTTCGAGACTACTTCTAAGTGGATCCTTATAGCTAGGACTCCCTCCCTGTCTAGTTTGTAGAATTATAAACAGCTATAGTGAGCACCAACTTTCAAATTTAAAAAGCTACAGAACATTAGATCTCTAGAGTTACAAAGCCAATGGACCTGACAATCCCCCCGTGACCGGGCGCCCACAGCACATCACACCAGGCTCTCTGCATAGCCAGCGTGCTCACCTACTCACCCCAGGCTGCAGCGCTACGCTCTGTTCACCGTCTCTCCCTTGGCGGTCCCCTGCCCACAGCAGGCCAGGACTTAGCTGGGCCATACTGTCTGGCACCTCAACGGTTATGTACTGGGCCAGACTCTGCACGCAGCTGCAGCAGTGCTCCAGGGCCTGCTCCTTGGACTCTCCGGCGAACTGTACACGGAACATGCGGCTCTTGTTCTGTTGACAAATGAAAAGTCATCTGAGAGACCCTCATTATTGTGGGGGCTTCTGGTAAGCGTCCCCCTTTGCTTGCTGTCACAGCTATAGAGAAGCCAATCATTTGTTTTCTGTCCCCTTTGGAAGCTCTTCTTCCTGCTGAAATTCATTTCCCTCAAGAAATTAGCACCAACGAAAATGCTCAAGTCTGCTATCATAAGAGGAAGGTCATGATATTGACTGCAGGGGAAGATCTATGTTTTGTCCAACTTTGGGATATAGATTTTAAGGCTTCAGATTGCTTAAATGGACAGTCTGAAGATAACACAGCATAGTCCTGGCTCAATGAAATTTTTCTAACCAAAGCAAAAATACACTAGGTGGATGTCACATTGCTTGAGGCAGTGAGCTTAAATAACATGAGGGAAAAGGAACGGGCAGCTGCTGAAAGCAGATGTATCACAAGTTAGGAGGCCGGTGCCCTTGGTCTTCAGAAGGCCAGCGCACCACTCCATCAAAGAGGTCGGTGACCCGCAGTGTACATACGGTGTGAATCACTTCCCGTCAGTACGGCAGAGTGGGAAGGATGCAGTAAAAATGTCTTAAAAGTCTGGCAGCTACATCAGAGTTTTGAATGGTAAGTTTGAAACAGACCCAGATTGTAAAAACCTAAGGCTGTTAACTTAGTAATTTCCTCCTCTTCTAGTTTAATATTATGCCTAGTTCAGGCAAGTCAACCTACATAAAAGCCAGCCTGAACAGCATGGGATGTTTGTTCAGTTTTTGGTTTTGTTTTTAGGCTGAAGATTCTACTACCATTTTATTGCAAAAATAGCCATCATCCATTTCTTTTTTCATTTACTTTTTATTAGTATGGGTTTGCAGTACATGATACTTACACTTATCTCAGGGAGTAGGTGCATGTACTTAACATACCTTAATTCCGCTCATACCCCTTTTCCTTTCCTTCCTGCCTCCCTGTTCAGTTTCTTCCATAAAGAAATGCAGGTGTTTACATTAGCACGGTGAGTCCTTTTCACTTATTAAATATATTAATCACACTGCTAGCATGAAAACACTTCTAACTGCAGTGAAAATCCCGAAAGTTTCCATGAGCAAATAGTCCTTGATTTTCTTGCTCATTGTTTAAGCTGCTTAAATAAACATGTCAAGCAAAGCTACACTTTTGGGTTCTACAAAACTCACAGCAGGCTCAGAAGTGCTAAGTATCACGTTCAGAGGAGAAGGTGCTCACATCTAATACAACATACGTAAAGTCAGTATTCTAATATGTACGCATATTTATTATATACACTAGCAGAAATCATAACACATTTTTACAGGTCATGCACATGATATGTAGGTTATATGTATTATATATGTGTATCTTTACACTGGTGTTCTGCAGCCTAGTCCTTTTTAGCAGGATATAAAATAGAAGTACACTTCATGACTTTTACAGGCTAAAGAGTATTCCTTCACTGACCTGGGCGCCCCCTGCTGACACTGAGGTTATTCCAGCCTTCTTCCCATCACCCATGCTGGAGCGCAGATAGGCACTCCTGGATCAGTGTCTGAAAGCAGGCTTGCTGCAGCAGAGGGCGCTATGTGGCCTGCAGCAAGAAGGCAGGGTTATTCCCGTGGGGAGCAGATGTCCTTTCCCTGCACCCCACCCAATCAGGTTCTTAATCTTTTTAGTATGTGTCAACCTGCTGCATCAGCAGATTTAAAATTTTAGTTTCTTCGACTCCAGTGAGGTTGAGTGTTTTCCTATGCTGACTGGTTGTGTTTCCCTCTCGAGTCAGGCCCTTCCCCATTTCCACGATGGGTGGTGATCCTAGAGTGTCAGTCATGAAAAACTAGCTTTCCCTGAGGGAGGGAGGAACGGATGAGAGAACTGTAACTCAGCACCCAGCGATACTATGAATCCTCTCTCCTCAGACCGAGCTGATTGCTTGTTGACAGTTAATTAGCTGTTTCCATCCCCCTCCCTTAGATGCTGTATGAAGACACCTGAGAAGTAGCTTTGTATGAGCCACTTCTGTTTGGATTCCGTAATTAAGCAGCCCTGTATGTAGCAGCACATCGGAAACGGTTCCTTGTCACTGTCTGAACCACGGCACTCAGGCATAGGTTGTGGGCCGGGGATATAGCTCAGCAGCACAAGCGCCTGCCTAGCAAGCGCAAGGTCCTGAGTTCGATTGCCAGTACCAAAAAAACAATCAGACACAGGTTGTGTATGAGCAGAGCTAAGACCCAAGACCAGCCATTGTGCATAAGCTTAGAGGTGTCTGTGAGTGCATGGAACAGTCTAGGTGGTTCAGGTTTCTTTCGGGCATAGTTAAAAAACGATGGGCAAGTCTGATGGTGCTGGTCCATGTTTACTTCTGTCCCGCTCTCAGGCTCTGAGCTTATAATCTGAAGCCAGAACTACCACTTCAGTGCATGTGGACACAAGACAACACCCCGTAACTACATCAGGAACATGAGACAGTTCACACTTCCTCCCAAGCCTCACCTCCATGCGCACCATGGCAAGCCTGCCACTGGGTTTGAACATCTTCATGGGACACTGAAAATCTCAAGTGAGATTTATTTGTAAGGCATAAAGCCAGAAAGTGCTTCCTGCTAGGAGACAGCAAGTTGTCAAGCTACCCGGAGCCAGGAACGAGTAGTCCCCAGTTTCTACCTCCTAAGGAGGAGAGCTCAGAATTGCTGTTTTTTCGGTACTGGTTTACATGTTAAGTTGCACTGACCTGACTCAGAATACCTTATCTCAAGTTATAAGAACTTTTAGAAAATTCCATGCTACACAGACTCCTTAAGGAAGCAAGTGCTTATCCCTTTCCACTTCCCAACACACACTCGAAAAGCAAGGCTTTTCTTCCTGGGAGGCAGAAGCCCATAGAGTGCTCACACCGGTATGAACCGCGTCCACCTAGGGACCCTGGATCCACAGCTCTGCAGCCCATGGTACCACATAGAGTACAGCCAGGGTGATGTCAGGGGCCCCCAAGCCCAGTGCATTATAAGCTCCCTAAACTCTGGGTGTCCCTGGCTACACCTCAGGTCCATACGTGCACCAGATTCTCTTCAAGACTTCTTTCAGTTCTTAAGGTCTGTGGGTCCATTAGACATCAGTACCTTTCATCTACGCTTTAATACTATTTTTTGTCTTTTTGAGACAAGGTCTCACTATGCAGTTCAGGCCAGCCTTGAGCTAACTTTGTAGCCCAGACTGGTCTCAAACTCGTAACGATCCTCCTGCCTCAGCCTCCTGAGTGCTGGGATTACAGGCATGCACCACCACACCTGGCTCGCTTCAATATTATTTACTCAGTAAATGATAACAGATTGGTTTTTATGATTATTTGTGAAAGAAAGTAATTCAGGTGATTAGTCTGTATGTTTCTTTGATGAGGATCATTCTTTATGATTAATACAGCTAGAAAGCAAGTAAAAGTTTTTAAGTATTAAACAGGGAAATGAAAAGACATGCTTAGAAAAGCATTTTAAAAATACACCTTTAAAAACACCTAAATTAGAGCAAATGGACAGTGCTGTGCTCCACCTGTTCCCAGCGCATGCTCGGGGGACTGAGCAGCAGCCCACAGCCCACACTTGCTAGTGAGGCACTGCCCCTCAGCTGTGGTCTCCTGCCTTGCTTGTGATGCAAACCCTCCTTCAAGGTGCAGGTTCTTCCCAGCACCATCTGGTCTCCAGAGAAGCGCTCGCCACCCCCCGCACCACCACACACACACACACACACAGGAGATGAGAAGTGTGACATGAGCGTAAACAGAGTCGGCTGCACGGTCAACTTGATCTTGCCTTTATCGTTGATCCAAACAATAAACAGTCCACGCGTCTTACAATCTTCAACCAGTTCTTGCTACCGATGAGTGAAAACCCTTCCTGAAACAGTAATTAGGCAGAATTAGCAACGGAAGGATAAAAGGGCCAAGAATACCTACGGCACAGCTGTTTCCTACTAGGCTGGCTACCTGTTCATTCTGTAACGTATGCACAGAGGAAAGACCAGCTGCAGGGTGACCTTCACACCAAAGCCCTGTAGGCCAGGCCCGTGCCCTTCTGCAAGAGGAACATCAAGGCTTTTCTTTCCTTAACCTTTCATATTGTAATGAAGGAAATACCGCAGACAGTCAATGTCCACAGTCATATCTGCTGAAAATGCATTTCTATGGCTCCAGAATTCACCAAAATACAACTTTCTATTCCTGAGAAGCAAGACTTTATCTTACTATCTGAAGAATTTAGGGGGCACATCCCTATACAGGGTGAATCTTATTTTAAGATTCTTACGAATGGGAAATTTGAAACCACTTGTTTTTGGACACATATCTGCTGAAAATGCATTTCTATGGCTCCAGAATTCACCAAAATACAACTTTCTATTCCTGAGAAGCAAGACTTTATCTTACTATCTGAAGAATTTAGGGGGCACATCCCTATACAGGGTGAATCTTATTTTAAGATTCTTACGAATGGGAAATTTGAAACCACTTGTTTTTGGACACTAAATGTTCAGTTCTTTGTTTCTCTGTGAAAAGACAACCCAGACAGGGCAGCAGAGGGCACACAAGTCTTGAGAAGGACAGCAGCTAGCCTCAAGGTGGAAGTGTGGACATTAATAAACTACATAGAGGGGCTGGGGATTTAGCTCAGCGGCACAGCGCTTGCCTGGCAAGCACAAGGTTGTGAGTTCGATTCCCAGTACCACAAAAAAAAAAAAAACAAACAAAAAACCCCAATAAATAAATAAATAAATAATAGTAAACTACACAGACACGACCACCCGATATGTCTATGGCAGCCCTTAGACTCAATCGTGTTGCATTATTTCCTCTTGAAGCAGCCGAAGCTGGACTGTGTCAGCTTCCAGTAGAACTAACCCAGAGGCCCCACTGAGGCAGTCCGCAGACTGCGGCGGCCTTTCTGCCATCATGAGGCTGGGAGCACTCTGAGAAATGCCTTCCCCAAATCCCTCTTGCTGAATCTGAATGCAAACAGCTGTGACTTCCACAGACATCTCCTTCCTGGGGGGAACAATGTGGGTCAATGCTTTGATGTTTCATTTTAAAAGCCAACTCTCAGATGCAAATTCTAAGAATTTCATCACCATAGTTTTTTCTTAACTTGTTTTTTTAAACAAAGTTAGGCAAAACATTTGTTATGTCTTCTTAAAACTCTAAGATGGAATGTATTATATCCCCAAAAACAGAGAATTGTAGTGTTCGGGAAAGTGGCGCTCACATACTTTGCTGCTAGAGTACAAATGACGCACTGCTATGGAGGACAACTGGGTCACAACACAGTTACAAACTCACTGTGACCTCGCAACCCAAGTGCTGGGGATTCATCTTACGGATCAGCCTGCACACTTATGAGGTGATACAGGGACAAAGTGAAGCTTTTACGGGATTTTAAAGGACTGGGAACAACTTAAGTGCGCATCAAGGGAGGGCTGATGAACTGTACAGTGGAATATGAGACAGCTGCAAAGAACACTGTCTTTGAAATCCAGTGTGCACTTCATATATTCCTACATTTTATACTCCTTCCCTTTTAAAATGTAAGTTAAAACTCAATTGTAAAATGCCATTTCTTAGGTGCGTCAGTCACATTTCAAGCTCTCCGCAGCCAGCTACATATGGTTCACAGTGGCCGTGGGCAGTACAGCTATGTACGCTGAGCTCTAGGGCGCTCTGAGAAGCAAAAAAGGAAGCTCTGGAGTGGCTGCAGCTGGAGAAAAGGAGGCACAGAGGCCACTCCTACCGGCTTCCCTGTGCATACCGAAACTGGAGGGACCAGAGACCAATCCAGACAGGCCCCGAGGGAGGGAGAAGGAAGAGTGGAGATGGGCAGGGCGGGGAGCTGGAGTCTCAATCTGCCTTTGTGTTGCTAATCTGCACACCATGTACGTGACCTGCGCTTGTGTAGAAGATCATTTATGCAAATACAGCATGACCCTAAGGAACAGGAGGAGCAAGACCCAATATATGATCAGTCTATGCAAATCTGCATGATCTTCACAGTGGTAAATCTAAAACTGTGCTAATGTACAGTTCATAAAAAAGAAAAACGCTCAGCTCTTTGCCTAGCCGCATGGTCTGCGATGTCTCGTCCAGACTGGGTCGATGGGACACCTCTTGCTAGTCCACCACCTGGAATGCCACACGTACCACGGCCTATGCAAGTGGCAGCGCATACCATCACCCCGGCACCATGCTCGATGCCTGTTCAGTTCTTCCCCTAACACCAGCCAACCCCGAGTTCCCCATCCTCCCCACTCACACTTTCACTGTCTGCATCGAGCTGCCTTTATTTCTCCCCAGAACTGCTGCAATGTCCTGTGTCAGTCAGTGGTGGCGAACCTGTGGCATGTGTGCTACAGTGGGCTGTTTGTGATCACTGAATGCTCTAAAAACTTTGCGGTCACTGCTCTACCTGGCCTTCCTCCAGGCCCGACTCCTCATACAGTGTATCCATGTTACTGCCAGAGCAGTCATCAGAAACAAAATCCTGCTGGCATGATCTGCTCGCAGGAGAAAGCTCAGGTCCTATGTGCATACATCTCCACACCTGGCTATGCCTTGTGCAGACTTTCTGCAGCTCTCATACAAACCCCTATTAGACCAGCAGACTGAATTCCTGCGGTCCTGTGGACACGATGCGCTCCTCACACCTTGCTTCCACCCTGCGGCTTGCTCCTGGAAAAGCCTTTCCTCAGCGCCCAGTGTGACCTCAGCCCAGGGCTGTGCTGTCTTACACATGACCTCCGTCGTAACTAGTTACTTTTCTTTCTCTCTTGTGAGGAAACAAGGGCAAGTGGCGCTGCAAGACATACAGTCCTCCCCCTGTGTCCCCAGCAACTGTCACATGTTTAGTAACTGCTCTGGCCTGGGCGTGCTGGGAAAGGGCGTGAGGCGGGTGCCTGCTCACTGAGCCGCTCTGTGGCTCTCCTTTCGTCTGCCAGACCAGCCTACCTTGAAGCTTCCTGCTCCTCTGTGGCTCTTCTCCTGTCTTGCCTGACTTACCTCCTCTATTGGTTCATTTCCCTCCATTACACTTCCCCTTAACCCTCTGTCCTCGCATCTAGCAGCCTCTGTCTGTGTGTGTCGAGGTAGCTGCTAAATGTCGGTCTTTTTCACCAGACTGCAGGCCAGTGTGTTCTGCTCACTACTGAACATGCCACGCCACTGATGCTAGGAATGTGTAGTAAGCCTCGCTGTGCAAGGGATGAATCAGCAGGATGTCAGGCCAGCGTTACTTCTCAGGAGCTGCGCTGTCCACCTGTCCAGTGACACACAACATCTGGTATCTGATTCACACCAACCTTGCTCAAAATTCACAAAGACTACCTCGTGGACCTTCCTGTCTTTGGGAATCCCCTACTCTGCGTCTCCTCTAGGACTTGTCTATGGGGTGCTGAGGCTGGCTTGCAAACAGCTCTTGGCCCATCCTACCCATCTCAGCCAGTCTCCGGTCTCACTGGAGACTACAACTTGCTTCCTGACTTCTGACCTTGAACGGCCACAGTGCAGCCAGGAGGGTGACACAGAATCTGCCCTGGGGAGGGGATGTAGCCGGCTCACCCAGGGAGCTTCTCCGACTGGTGCTTGTGATACTGTACCCTACCAGGTCACAGTCATTGTCCTAAAAGCCACTATTCAGGAATGGGAGTCTGTCACAGCCCTGGGAGCTGGAGGTAGGAAAGTGGCCGAGAACTGACAATATAGGGGGCAGGAGGGGAAGAGTGGGAACACTAGGAAATGCCACCTTTACCATCAGACAGCAGAACAGGACCCAGTGCCAGGGAGCAGTGTCTGGAGGGAGCAGTGTGGAAGTGGAGGGGGCGAGGTCCAAGCTCCCCACGAGAGGCCTGCGTGGGATTGGGCATGGGGCAGGGGCACTGCGCGGCCCCTCGCGCTCCTGCACACTCCGCAGGGGCAGGCGCCCCTTTCCCTGTCTGTGCCCTGCCTGTCGGTGGAAACAGAAGAGCATCGATCTCCAGCATGTGGCTGCCCCTTCTTCCTGCCTAGTTCTGGCAGTGTCCCCGCGGGGCAGCGGCCAGGACGCCACCCGACTCCAAGGTGGGGCACCACACGCACACACAGTCTTAAGCTTTGATTTCTTCACTACATGCTGTGACGTTCACTTCTAGGTTCTGGTCGCCCGTGTTCTCCTGGGCCACTGTCGTTATGCATCATGACAGTTGCCAGGAATAAGAAGAAGCCATCAAGGGAAGGAAGGAAGGGACTGCAGTGCAACGGATGCAGAGGTCAGACGCACAGAACCGGGAATCCAAGCGTGGGGAGAACCGCCTGTGCCCTCGTCCCCCGGGGCGGTTCCTTTGCTGGGGACCTGTCACCAAGCCATCCCTCCAGTGGCACATGTGCCTCTCAGTCTGTCCACTAGCGTGACTTGCTGGCAGGGGAGGTCACCGGTACTCAGCGATGCAAATTAGCATTAAAACCATGCCACGGATGACTTCATAAATGCTTTGAAGAAACACAACATTTTACTTTTATGTTGATGACAATGAAAAGTGTTCAACCTGCTACAAATACCGATTCAGAGGAAAGCGGCGTCGGAGACTAGCGTTACAAAAATAACTCGATGACTAGCCGTTTGACCAGCCACCTAGTCCCCACCCCAGAGAACCGGAGGGCTTCTGGCTGAATGTGAGAGGGTGTTTCAGGGCCAGGTGATTCATTTAAGACAGGCCCGGCGTAAGCTCCAGGGTTGTGCTTCTGACTCACTTCCCAGAGTTCAGGATTAGAGGCTCAAGTCACACTGAAAACGGGAAATCCACGATCAAGGAGCTGCTACAGAACATGAAGATAACAGTGTGAAGAGGGAAGAAACCAAAAAGAACTGGCGTTTTTTAAATT